CCCCAAAACCCCAAAACCCCAAAACCCCAAAACCCCAAAACCCCAAAACCCCAAAACCCCAAATTGTTAAGGATGAGTTGAGTATTAAATATTAATAGTTTTTATTAATAATGAAGACGTATAAATTCATACTCCTACTGACCTTAATTCTAAGCGTCCAAGCACAAAGAGCAACGGAATCACTGTGGGATATACAACAAAGATGTGAACAATACGGATATCCGTATGAAGAGCATCAAGTCACTACCGAAGATGGATACATTTTGACACTAATGAGAATTCCTCATGGCCGAGAGGATGATAATATGGAAAACAGAGAGCCTGTTTATATGACCCACCCCATTTCATCCTCTGCAGAATCATTCACTTACTTGGGTCCTGAGAACTCTCCTGTCTTTTACATCGTCAATAATGGATATGACGTATGGCTTAATAATTTCAGAGGAAATATTTATAGTAGAAATCACGAGGAACTAGATTTTGATACTGAAAGAAAAGAGTTTTACGATCTTGACCTTATCGATTTATCTCAAGATCATCCAGCAAATATACAATATATAATCGATACGACTGGATATCCACAAATCCATACTTTTTGCTTTTCTCTATCAGGTGTTGCACTTGCTATCAACATGGCTATCCGTCCTGAATTTTATGAATCAAGGTTATCTGAGGCTGTACTGATTGCTTCTCCTATTAATATGGCCAACACGAATTCTCCAACGTACGCTATTTTGGGAAATAATCCTTGGATTTTCGCAATACTTAGAAATTTAGGAATTTATGAAATTTTTGATAGAACTCCTTTTCATAATTTACTCATGAGTATTTTCTGAGCTCCATTCGCATTTTTCTGCATTACTAGCAACGAATTCACCGAAGGAAACTCTATCTATGAAGTTGATAATCCTCGTGCTTATGCCTTATTCATGGCCAGAGGAGGAATGGGGATGCCGAGACGTGCCCTTGAACATCTTGTTCAAAGTGTTAGAACGCAACAAGTTACATACTTTGACTTCGGAGTTCAAGAAAATATGGAACGTTATGGTACAGAATTACCTCCAAGAATCCCATTTGAAAACACCAGATGCCCAATTGCGATGTTATATGGAGAAAGAGACTTAGTGGGAGATCTTGTGGATGCTCATTGGTATGCTGATCAAATTGAAGAGAATATAATTTTCTTCGATACTTATCCCTATGCTCACTATTCTTTCCTCCTTGCACGAGACCCGTCAGTTTACCTTGATGATATCTTGGACATCTATGGTAATCGTCCGATTAGCAAAAGTGAGGAATCAGGTTAATTATTAAAAACTTTTAAAATTGTATAAAACACCTGTCCAAATTCAAGCGCTTTTTGGATATATTGAGTTCATACATCCAAGCGAACTGTGAAACTCTAACTAGTTATTATAATAAAGCTCCTCTTATTCCCTTTACATTTTGAAGCGAAATTTTGCCCTCTATTATTTATAATTGTCTTAGTTTTTCTTATAATTTTGGTGTATACACCTACCTGATTCACCTAAACCCATGATTAAAGTACCAATGGTCCATGCATAAATATACCATACTTTTTAGTCCATTTTGGATTTGCTCAAAAGAAGCCGGATCCTAATTTTTTATGAGTAAATTCATTCATTCTGATCATTAAATTCAATTAATTTAAATGAAAATAAAAATTCCTGGACTGGAAGAATTTCATGGTCTGGTTCTAAGACATGAAAGCATACACTTGCCACAGACCTAAATGCTTGGGTTACAGATGCTTTAGTATATTACCCTCTGTGGTTTTATAGGTACGAACATGGAAAGCTTTAGAAAATTTTTGGGGATAAAACCCTCATTTCTAGAAATGCCCATCGACTAATATTTAAATTACTTAAACATTTTCAGAATCACACCAAAAATTGTTAGATGAAATCAATAATTTTGGATGAAGTATAGATGGCATTACCCCTGATGCTTTAAGGTTAGCCACTCACTAGGCCCTAGACACTTTCACAAGTGTAGAGGCTGGTGAAAAGTCATCTCTTCTGCATGAGGATATGTTAACCTCAGAGGTTGTCATTCATAAATAAGAAATTTAACCTTTGTTAAAAATTGTTAAAAATTACACACAATAGCCGATCTAGGAGCTTCCTTTTACGAGGTTTAATATGGCTGAATTGAGTTAGCAAATTAATACACCAAGGCGTGCTTCAGAGGAAAGAAGGTCACAAATTTTAAATAGTTTACTTTTTATAAATTGGTGCAGCCTTTTGTCATCACCAAAAGGCATTTTGGGCTCAAAGGCCTTCACAAGAATAACCGATTGATAAGAAATTATTCAATATAGAAGGTAGTTTTGAGTAATTGGCTCATAAAGTCCAGTTTTGAAGCATAAAATTATGCTGCTTTCACCTAATTGTATTGACTAGTTGAAGCAAATTTATTTAATTCCAGACGCTTGGGTTTAGCTTCAAATATATTAAAGATCAGTTTTGAAGAATTCATCTTTATCAACTCTAATTTAGGGAAGTCCTGTTATAAACTTAGAGCCCATCCATTAGTAATGAGGCTGGAGTAGCGCTGAGGAAGCTACAGAATGCCTCTGGCTACTCTAGTACAATAGGCTAAGCCTTATTCCAATATTTTGCAGGTGTTTCAGTTAAAAAATTCATTAGATTCATTTTTAGTTGATACCTAGGGGTTTTGGGGTTTTGGGGTTTTGGGGTTTTGGGG